GAACACGGGGGGCGGTTGACATCTGCCTTATTGACAAGGCTGGGCGCTTTACCATGTCGGGAGAGGACGCCCACCAACGGCTCACGGCAGGCAGTACGCGACCCACTGGCCCATTGATCATTGCCTCCCCTTCCCATTGGTGGGGCATTGTTGCTGCATTAGAGCTCCATGCCTCCCTCCATCACACCCACGTCCGACGTCCGATGGGAGGAGCTCTACCAGACCTACGGACATGCTCGGCTTGGACTTCAAAACCCACAGCGCGCGGATAGGGAGACTGCCCGTGAATTCTATGAACGGTGGTCGGTGAATCGCGTTCCTCCGCTCTGTGATGCTACAGCAGTCGCTGCACACTGCGGCATGGACGGCTACCCGGTCCAGCTCCTCCTCGGGGGTGTGGATTTTGAGCACAGCGGACCTAGTGGCCAATCCATCACGGCACGCCCGTTCTATCCGGTGATTGACACCGATCACCCAGTCTTCGGACTGCTAGAGTTTACTACACCGCCGCGGTTTGGTCTCCACCGTCTTCGAGAGCACAAGGGCGTGGGAGTGCCTCCCCCCAAAAGACTATACAGTGCGCTCCGTTCCACTCACCATCGGTCTCTCATCGGGGCGCACATGTATTTTGACCCGCCAGCGCCGGTGTGTCGGGGCCAAACCGGCTCTGCGGAATCGCTGGTAACCGCTGTGCCGGGGGCATTTTACCTTTATTCCATCGCTTCTGATACGATTAACACGACGCTGCTTGGGACGATCCGACGGGAAAGGTTCGCCCGGACCCGGACGCAGGCGCACCTGCAAAGGAGGATCCTGCGTTGACCGCGGAGTTGCGCAGTCAAAGTTGCGCTGCCTCCCTTCCTGCCGCACCTAGTGCTACATGGAGCCAACGTGTGGCGGCCCTGTTGAATGCCGTGGAGACTCCGCCTAGCCGCCTTGTGCCTGGAGTTACAGCCATTGCTAGCCGGTGTGTACCGGCAGAAGACGAGGACGAATTCGAAGAGCAGCATGATACCCTTCGGCGCTACCAAGCCCGGGGCGCTACAACAATTACTACCCAACCCCACCGATTGTCTTACCTTGCTTTCCCTCCCCTTGTCCCTGCCCGCTTGTGAAGTCAAACTCAGCCCTCAGAATTTTGGGGTGAAGGTGGTTGATTTCGCTGACCGGGCACTCATGTTACGGCGCTGTACTGATAGCGAAGCTTTTCGCGTCTGTCTGACGCCCATGCTGGCCGTGTCTGTCGCATTGGCACAGTTTTGCGACCCAGTTCTGCGCCTGCCTGAAGGACGAGTTTTTGACCTGTCCTGGTATGAGCTCGCTCGGCCCGAAATTTGGTGGTGGCTGCTCTTGGACGAGCTTGCAGGGCTCAAAGGGTCGCTCCCCTGTGCCTTGGAAGGACGGAAGTCTCCAGTCCGGGACGGCAGCTTGGTGCAAATGTCCTTGGCTCCCAAGCGAGAACCATTGCCGGCAGGCAGCCGACGCGGCGCCGGATCCAGCCAGCGGCGCACTACTGGGGATGGCGGCACGAGTGTTGACGCGACACAGGGGACCCCACTGCTTCACTGTGGTGTGTTATTGCCAGTACAGTTGCTGCTTTATCTCACACGGGCATTAGCAGACGACCCTACGGCCGCTCCACTTTTGCAGCTCACCAACGTTACTCCAACTCGTGACGGTCAACACATTGAGGTGCGAGTCAAATGCGAGGTTCCGGCTGCCCTGGTGGGCCGACCCCAGATTGCCATTGCTGACCGACTGATGGCGGGCTTCGAGAGTGGAATCCTTCCGGCCAGACGCGGCGAGTTTGATCCGCGAATGTTCACGTATCCGGGAACATATCGGGGCACTTTCCGCCTGCTCTTCCCGCTTGCGGACATCTCACTGGGTTTGCAAGCGCAGCCCTCTCTTTCGATTCAGGCCGCGGGCCTGCTGAATAGTGCACTGTGGCGTCTTCGTGCCGCGGCTACCTCCGATGGATGGGATCTCCGAGCGGTCGTGGCTTATTGGATACGCGGGCCACAAAAGAAGCAGTTTTACTTTCCAGCCCGCTTATGGCGCTTCGCGCATTTCGACGCACTTGACGCGAAAGCGATGGTCCTCCTTCACCGGTTGGTCGCCCGGGAGGCGAATCAGGCGCAGGAGCTGCCGGGTGGCGAGCGTCCCTGGGTCAGGTTGGGGCATCCCTCGGCGCAGGAAAGCTGGAAGGCTGCGGCGGAGGAGTTCCTCAGGGAAGGGGGCCTTGGACCTGGCCTCCAATTTCCATGTATATCCACCGATCTAATGCCACATCTGCATGGCCCCGACCAGGACACTCATCAGTATACATTTAAAAGGGTGATGGAAATCTACAATGAGAAAAATTACCAGATGCTTTATCTCTTAAAGGAGAGTCACTTTCCTTCGAGTGGTCGTGACATGCAGCGCCTTCTCGACAGCTGGCCGCGCGGAGTGGCGGCTGGCTCCTCTAGGTGACATTCCGTCTTCATCAGCCGATCGTGGGACTGACGACATACGTCGTTGTGTCGATACCCCCCCTTGAGCTTTCAGCATTGGGGCTACACGGCTTCTCCCTTGCCGAGGCCGGGCTAAACTGTGTGGGCGGGCGGGCCCTTGCCACCATGTCGATGCAGACACCGGTAGGTGCAGGCCACGCTTGCCAGTGAGCTTGGTAATTGAAATTGGGTGTCCTGGTTGTGACCACATGAGGTTAGTCGGTTCATCTCTGGCTGAGATCGCTTCCCCCTGTGGAAGCCGTTGCAACCGACGACATACGTCGTTGAGGTTCTTTTCACCCTCCATGCCACCCCTGCTCTCGGCACTCTGCACCACCACCTGAGTCTGGCCTGGGCTCTGGTGTGCACGCTCGAAACGGGTGATACATAGGGGCTGCTAAGCCTTCGTGGCTGGGGCCATGGCTTGCGTTGCCCGGGGCAGTGACACACCGCAACGTCCTGCTCCTGCCGGTCTGCATTCACTCGCCCAGCCACATGCGTGCCGTGGCGAGCAACTTAGTTGGTTGGACGTCGGCATTCTGACCGTGAGGGTCACGCACGCTGCCTGTGTCGCTTTTGGGCGACGCCCTTGCGCTTGGCACGCCGAGGATCGATTGGATTTGTTCCCTTGGGTGTGTGTTTGCGACGCCGGCCCGTCGCGGGTTACTTGCCTGCGACTCTGGTCATCGCACTCCTTATCTGGAAGCCGCCCACGCATGCAGTGGGCCTTGGACTTTTGGATTTTGGTGTGCACGATCGCGACGGAACAAAACACAGGGGCTGTCCGTTGTCTGGCGAGACTAGAACGGCTGCCGGAGCCTGGTCTTGGCTCCACCTGTTGTTTTGGGCAGCTCAGAGCGACGGCTCTTTGTTGCTCCTGACCGGTCGCTGAGGCTCCGTAGTTTGTGCTGAACGGCTAACACCGGCAAAGCCTGTGCGCCGCAGCCCTTTGTAGAGCTTCGCTTCGCTGTTTCACCGCTTTGTTGTGTTTTTGCTTAGATTGTAGTTTCGCTTGTTTGTAGGGACCGAGTGCTACAGCCGTAGTCGACGAGGCCCAGTCAAGCCAAAAAATGCCGTCTGCTACAAGTGATCCAAGCTCTTGGCCATCTTTGTTCTCTAGAAGAGAAGCAGACGCCACAAAGTTAGTTTGGCGAAAAAGTGCTGTTTCAAAGTTGTTTTTGCAACTGAAGTCTGTCTTTGGTTTAGTTCTCCAGATATTTAATGCACGTTGAAATGTGCAGAATCTGGACAACGGATGTGTTATCCAAATGGACAACCACAAGTTGCTGTTCTTGTTTTGACGTGTTCGTTTTTAAACTGCTCCGTGCATGGAATCTTTTGTAACTTTTATGTGCGCTACAACAATGCACGAAATTTAACTTTTGGAACTACAGCCTTTGCTTGGGTAAGTCAAGCAATCGTTTTGTTGGTTGTTGAAGAAGCGCCAAGTTAATTTGAAGGGTGAGGCAAATGTGTGCCGAAGATTCATTTGGCAAGCTTAATGAAGTTTTAGGCGGGTTTATTGTTTTGCTTTTTTGGAAATCCTATGCATTTTATTATGTTGCTTAACAGCATTTTATGCATTCTTTCGTTTTACACGTGATGGCGTTCTTCCGCAGACGTTTTTGAGTATTCAAAAAGTTTTGAAAACAGAATGTCGTCGACCAGTCCAATTTTCCTCGGTGCGTCTGCGACAACTGGCCACTTTGTAAGTCTGTTTTGCCGCTTTTGTGGTTGTTTAGTTGGTCTTCTTCATTTACTTGCTTGGAACCAGTGTGGCAACGAGCAACCGCTGTCGACAAGGTCTAGCCACGCAAAAAACACTTTGCCAGTGCGCCGTTTCCGGAAACAAGTCGCGCAACGGAGCCGTCACACTCCATTCCTGAGCTGCTTGCGCGCGAACTAGAGTTTAGAGGCATTTCGCTAGGTTCAGCAACCGGACATTGTTCCGGTTGCAAAGTTTTGCTTACTCAGCTTGCACCAGCCAGAGTTCATTTCAGTTTCGGCCGTTGCCCAGCGTGTTTGAGGATTGATGGCAGACAAAAGCTGGATGCGGTTGCTTCTTCAGAACTGACCAGAAAGGTGTTTGTTTGGTTGTATTCACGGCGTCTGCGGTTGGAGTGTCAAAGCTGCTGGTGTGAGATGGACGGTTTGCCAAAGTCCGGCTTCTGCTGGATTACCAAGATAAGCACCGACCCATACCATGGACTCCATGAAAGCCGTCGCTTAAAAAGGGATGCGACAAGCCAATGCTATGCTTGTGCCTTTCTCGTCCCAGCATTCCGCACGTGCATTGGTGTCATGTAAGTTCGTGCAAGTGCAGGGGGAACAGTTGAGATGTATCGCAGCTCCTTTGGCTGACCATGCCGACTTGAAAATTTCAACAACATGATATTGCAGCTGTTTATTATCAGACTGGCAATTTCCAGAAGACAACATCTGCCTTTCAGGGGCAAGGACTCAAATACAATCCAAACCAAAGAACGAGTCTTCGCACTGCCTTGCATGAAGTGGCTCTTGGCCCTTCCGCTGGCTGCGACCACAGAGACCGCCCCGCGATGTGATTTCGAAGTCGTTCATGCGGTTCTTGGCTGCAAAGTGTTTGCTGCTTTTCGTACCTTTCTGTGGACAGGGTTGACCGGGATGATGCTTAAGCTTGAATTGTGCTGCTGTTAAGGACTTGCTGAAGGAAGGCTTCGAAAGCGAATACTTTCATCCTATCCTCATCCAGGGGACGCCGTGGGAGAGAGAGCGGGCGTCGCTGGCCTCTTTCCGACGTGTCTTTGGCAACTACACTGTACGACTAACCCACAACTTGGAATTCCAGTCAAGAGCCGGCTCCAAGCCCGAAGCGAACACCAGCACGTTCAGTGAATGGGCAGACACACTGTTCCAACAACAGAGTGTCCCATATGTCTTCGAATTCTGCGCCAAAGATCTCTGCGAGCAGATCGAATCTACGTATGGTATCCCGCCATACCTGAAGAATTCTTGCCTGAGTTTGTACATGAACACAGGCACCATCGCCAAGGGAGTTGCCTTCCACCAGCACAGGCAAACCTGGGGGTGGCTGCTAGCAGGACGCAAAGTCTGGTACGTCGCCCCGCCGGGGACGCTGAAGTTTCAGCCCCACAAGCACGTCGAAGAGGAGAAGCTGCAGAGCGCCGGCGCTGGCGTGCAGCGCTGTCTTCAAGAAGAGGGCGAGATCGTCTTCCTCCCTCGCGATTGGTGGCACGCGACTTTCAACAAAGCCGAGTGGAACCTGGCAATAGGTGGCCAAGGTGAAATCAGCAGCAGTGCGTTTGACGCAGTGCGAGGGGCAGATGCAGCAAAGATCCGCAAGCTGCCCAAGGAGGATTCTTGAAATTGAAAGATTCAATCGGGTTGCACTTCCTTCCAATCTAGTGCTCCCTTAAGGAGGTGAAAGGGGTGCTGCAGTCGGCAGTGGAGAACGGCCATCGAGAGGTGCCCGCATGGCCTGCGCCAGTCTTCTGAGGCCATCCCTTCGCTTTCCTCCCCCCCCGCAGGTGCTGGAGCTTCTGATCTCGGCGAAGGCCCGAGTCTTCCCGCAGGGCCGCGAAGGCTGGACGGCAGTGCACGAGGCCGCCAGCAACGTCGGCGACCGGAAGCTGTGCCTCAGCAGAGAGAGCTCCCGAGTCCCGAAGACTTCCAAGACAGACGAACCAACAAGCTTTGAAACAGGGTCGAAAAGGCTGGCAAGTCCCAGTGTCTTTGGAAACCACATCCATCCCTGCCGCAACTAAGTTTGGAGATGCTGGTGAAGCACAAGCTTGACTTAGCAGCCACAGATGGAGCAGGCAGGGCAGTGCTGCATAGGAGCACGCGGGTGAACTGGAGGACCCGAGCCATTAGTGGGCAACTCTGACAAGAAGGTCAAGAGGCAGGAACGCCAGAACGTAGACGATCACCGACAAGCTCACTCATCTCTGGCCACTAGCATCGTTGACCCCATGGCTCGACTTTTGGATTCGAGTCTTTCGGCCGCTCTTTCAACTGCATCTCTCCCAGTGGCAGCATGTCATGTGGCTCTGCAGCTTTGCAACTCCCGGTTTGTTTCTGCTCTTGTTTCTGCAAAGCTTTGTCGCAGCAACCTTTCAGCAACTTCTATGCAGCATCACCTAGAACCCAGCATTTTCGGTCTCGCAGTCGGTGCACATTTTGGCTTTTGCCCGCATTGTCCGTACACCTCAAGCTAGTTGGACGATTTCAACGGGATGTCAGGCGCTTCTAGCTTCCTTGGGTGTGCTTCCACTCCTGAACCGACAATCCAAGATGAACCATGGAATCGGCCAATCTGGGCAATGTGGCGTACATGTCGATGTAAGGCCCGGTTGCGGGACCAGGACAAAAGACTTGCAAATGTCCGCTGACATGTGCTCCGATCTTCATGACCGCAGAGAGAGCCAAGCAAACAGCATGTCACACTGTGCTTGTCTTGAAGGGCTGCTCAGAGTGCTGAGCTTGTGTCGAAGCCGTGTCTTTCTTGTAGGCAAGGTGGTTGCGCACCACCATCCCTCGGAGCCGGTCCTGGCGCCTCGGCGCTTCCTTGCACGGTCGGCACTGGGCACTGCCGTGACGCTGATGCTCCTGTGGGCAAACCGAGGGCTTTCTGCTTGAGCAGCGGGCTGATCTCGCTGCTGCGGACGCGGGTGGCGTGACCGTTGCCCACGAAGCCGCGATGCGCGGCCACGTCGCTGCCCTTCGGCTCTTGGCTCAGGCTCGGAATGCCGAGGAACCGACATCAGGTGAAGTCGTGGTTGGCCGAAGGATCCCGTCGGAAGTGCCGGCAAGTGTCTCCTAAACTCCTCCAGCAGTGTGGATCTGAAGCGCGAAGCAGGCTGGGATCTCGCTGACGGATCAGTGCAGCGATTTGTCCGCAGTTAGTCGCAGTGATGGTCTCTGTGTGGGGACCTGCTGCCTGAACTTCGCACATCGACTGTCACATTGCAACCAAGGCAACGGTGCCACCCCTGCGCACTTTGCAGCATTCGACGGTTCCTTGGGCATGTTTCGGTCAGGAAGGATTGGTGCTTAGAAAGTCCAGTGGATTCCGGCTTCTTCAGCAAGCTGCGAATTTAAGGTCACACAGGAGTCCTGCGGGAACTTTTGGCCAGCCGCGCAGCGGCTCTGGTTGCAGTTGCAAACGGATGTCTCAGTCCTGCTCGTGTTTTTGTTGTCGCATTCGGGGTCATGCAAGGATCTCCATGCCCTGGACCATGCCGGTGGGTCGCTGCTGCACCATGCTGCATCGCAGGAGAACGTGAGCGAGGGGTTGTTGCGTCTGGAGGGTCCTTGGCCAACAGCTTTCTGAAAGTCTCAACCGGATAGCATGCAGTCTGCGACAGGGCCAGACATCTGCGCTCGCTTTGCTGCTGGGCGAGGGTGTCCGTGCAGGACGTCCGAAATTTTCCGAGCGGCTTCGGTAGAGGTTGCCGACGTAGACCTTGATCTTAATAGCGGCTGAAGCAGGACCGGACGCTTTCGGACGCACTCTGATGCACGAGGCACCAGCTGATGTCATGCTGCTATCCTGGCCTTCTACTTCCTCACAGCTGTGAAGCAAAAAGCTCAAACGTGGGTTAGCAGCAGCCCCTGGCAAGGCGGCGGCCACAGGCTTCCCGGAGGCAATGCAGCTCCTCCGGCAACGCGGAGAGGATCCGCTTGCCCAGGCCTCTTGGGGGGACGACCGGGGCCCCGGACCCATCGCCGTGGTGTTTCTCGTGGCAGGATGGTGACGGCCGCTCTGTGGCGCAGTATGCCGCTGAGGGCGGACACGCAGAAGTGCTGTGCCTTGGATCGCGGATGTTCGCAACTGATCGTGTTCAGATGCTTGCACTAGTACACGTTTCGAGGAAGCAGCTCGTCTCCTGGGGCGTGGACCTCCGGAACCTGGACCGTGAGGCCGTGGAGGATCCCGCGGTGCTGGAGCTCCTGAACGCCAGTGAGCTCTGACTCTGACGACAGCTCTAAGGAGCACTGCGCATATCTGCGCAGTCCGGTAGCAGTTGAATGCGTCCTTCAGGCGCATTCCGTCTATCGTTTCGACGAGGCTTCTCAGCCAAAACATTCGAGGCATACAAGTGGGTGGGGGCGGAGGTGTCGTCCGAGGGATGCCGGATGTTCGAATTTCGATGTCGAAACTGCAGCCATTGCTGGCTTCAAGTTTTGGGAGACGTTGGCCTGGAGCTGTCTGCTGCCCTTCATCGCACCGTCCAGGTCCAGTGTGCTGTGTGTGCGATCTTTCTGAACATGTTTTGCGAACCTGCTTGGACCTACTTCTCATATCTGATTGTGCCTCAGGTGCAGCCATGGGCAAATTCCGGCTGATAGAGCTGGTACGACGCATGGCTGCATTCGGTCTCCATCTGGGAGATCTAGCACTCCGATGGCAATCTTCGCCTCGTATGAGCCGTGCAACCAAATGACGGGCTGACAGTGAAGAAAAGCTTTGACGAGGGGGGAACTATAGCTGCTTAGCTTACAGCAGTTTGCCTGTTTTGGGAGGGAGTTTTAAGCTGCATTGCCAGGACCATGCATGTGTGTCCTGCCGGAAGTCGCCACCCCGGACCGCAGGCACGGGAGAGTGTTCGGTCCCTGTTTGACCATACTGCTATGTCGTGCTTGTGGCATTGCACTGGCAGAGTTGGAGGATCCCCTTCCGTGAGAAGATCTTGTGGACGGGCATCTCGTTGTTCGTCTTCTTGGTGTGCTGTCAAATTCCGTGCCTTGCTCGCCTTTGGCCAGGGCATCTAGGTGTTGAGGCGCAGAGGTCACAGAGGTGGCCAGAGGGGTGGCTGCCCGGAAGGTCAGTGAAGTGAACTTTGAACTTTAAAAGTGCTGTTGAGAGCCTGGTCCCAGTCGCTGAAAAGCGAACTCGCGAGGCTGTACGGCATCTCGGCCAACAAATCCACCGTTGCTTGCTTGCAAGTTTCGGTGTCAGGTTGCAGCTGGGCAGATGTTTTCGCCTTTCTTGCACTGGAACTCCCAAATGGTTTTTGCCATTTCGGAACCGTGGGCTGTTCAAGGACCCTTTCTACTGGATGCGTGTGATCCTTGCATCGAACCGCGGCACTCTGATGGAGCTGGGCATCTCTCCGATTGTAACCTCAGGTCCGGTGGCAGAGCTGAGCATAGCAGGGCCTTGCTGTCCATGTCACGTTGGAGTAGAAGATCACAGCATCTCTCTGCGGAGTATGAGTGTCCACTCGCCACAGTGTGTTCGTTGCAGGCATGGTGATGCAGTTGCTGGCCGGGTCCAAGCTTCTCGAGGTGGACCAATCCCAGAAGGACGGGAGACGAGTTGAAGGGCACCATATTCGGGGCTGCGGAATGTGCGACGGTCAGATACCGTGTTGCTGGTGGAAGCTGCTCTGTCCAAGCCTTTCTTCGGCCTGACTGCATTCGTGATCGTTGGTCAGTGACGGGCTGGACTGGTCAGGCATCCATGGTCTCGCTTGGTAATCCACATCCCAGGAGGATAGAATGCTCTTTCAAGCGGCACAGAAGCTCTTCGGCATGGCAGCTCGGCTGGCCCTGGGCCGGGCTAGGAGAAGTTTCTAGTTACGTTCTGACGCATGCGGTGCCTGAGCAGACCTTCCAAGCCTGTCCGACTTAACAAAATGTGTGACAGCATCCATCGGGAGTGCTTGGTATGCTCAGCATAGCATCCTCGGGTAATCTCGCGTCCTCTATCTGCCTGGTGTTGCCGGAAGTGCTTCGTCGGTGGGTTTCTGCATAGTAC